AATCTTTATGGATACCCCTGAGCCCAGGGAGACTCAGGGGTTATGTGGGGACTCTCCCTCCAGGCTGGAGGGCCTACCCCACTAAAACCCCCCCGGGTTTCCCTCTCGCCGGTTGAGTCGGCGCCGTGGGATCAGTGAACATTCACCACGACGCCGCCCGGCCGCCCTAGCTTACGCCAGGGCTCCCGCGCCAACGGAGGGCGAGTCGGTTGTCCTCCGACCCGCCCCCCAGACGAGTGAGGCCGTGCAATGCAGACTCCGGAGTCCCTGTCCAGAGCCCGCTGGTCTCACTAGGGGATCAGGCGAGCAGCGAACTGCCTTCGCCTTCTCCCCGTACGTCTGCGCCGGAGCGGGTGCGAGTCTGCCGCGTCCTCGCGCACCCGCTCCGTGGCCTCCTTTTGCGACATAACCTCTGCGCAAAAGGAGGCCACCGCCTCCCAGGACTCCTCGCTATCGAGCATGGCGGCAACCACACTCGGCAGCGAGAGGTCCTGCCCTACAGTCCCCGTCAGAGTGCGGCGCTGCTCATCCCACCGGCTACACACCTGTAGGGTGTGCTGCGCGGTGTCATCCGCAGCGCCGCACTCGTGGCACGACGGGGACGGTTCCCTCCTCGCCACCTTGTGCAGGTAGTGACCGAAGCAGCCGTGCCCGGTCAGCACCTGCACAAGGTGGTACGACAGTGGTCCGTGGGACCGGTTTACCCACTCTACGAGGACAGGGCGGATCGCCTCTATGGTACGAGCGCCATAGGGGGGATCCGCCAAGCCCTCTTTCCACCGGTCCCGCATGCGCTGCGCCGCGAGGCGGCGCTCCCGCTCCATGATATATCCTGTGAAATACCGATAAGCTGGCAACTTAACGGCGGTGTTCAAGGCTCTGCAGCTTCGCCTCCACTAATTCCGAGCCACCTATAAGCTTCTTGGTACGGTTGTCAATTGAATCAAAGGTGGCCAGTTGGTACGTAACAGAGCCATCCTAAAGGTGGCAACAGTACTCCATGCACGACCGGACTTGTGCTTAGTACAGCTTAAACAACTGACCCTATCTACCGGACCGACATTTCCCTGTCTACCAATCCGAGAGGTAGGGTTTTTCGGAGAGACTACGGGCTTGACGCTAAAATCAGGGTACAGGGGGCGCCCGGGCCAAGCCCGATGAAGAGATTTGGTAGTGGACTCAGAGACGACGGCTTGACGGTGGCAACTGCCAGTTGTGCAATGCGCAACGGGAATTGAGCGTGCCTACGTCTCCGGTACCTATCTGAAAAATAGGGAGGGTACTGTACGTGCACCCGGGGCGGCTCACCCGAGGCACTAGCCTCTCGAAGAACCGGATGTAGTCAAGTGACAGAGGTCCATGAGAACCCTGTACACTGGCTGATCTGGGGTCAGAACCTGAATTTATAAGGTTCCTCTGCGCGCACAGGTTATAGTGTCCTTCTCGTGTGCCCTAAGGGTAGGTAACTATAAAAAATAAAAATAAAATATAAAAAAAGGTCACTATAATCAAAACTAACGTAGAAAGATATGGTGCTTGTCCCGGTGTGAAGTAACGCCTCACCCTGGAAAGGATCACAAGCTTCAAAGGCTTTAGAAAAATCCAAAGACACTGCAAGTGCTTCGCCTTGCTTTTCTATAGCTTCGCTCTATATGTGATAGGCATACACAAGAAATCCCCAGTAGATCGCCCTAGTCGGAATCCGTACTGGCGATCATTGAGGAGGTCGTTCGTTGTCCTCAAGGTACGACAGGAGACGGTTGTTGAATACACGTTCCATAGTCTTGCAGAGTATGAAGTGACCGAGATAGGTATATAGTTGACAGAGTCAGCTCTGCTTCCCTTTTTCGGCACAAGTTGCACGTTTGCAAGCTTCCACAACTTGGGAACTACACCAGTCTCAAGTGAGACGCGGTACAGGCGTAGGCGTGTGAGAACAGGAGACAACTCAGGCGCACAGTTACGTGTAGGACTAGTGCCTGAAATCCATGTGGCCCGCTAGCTATATTCACGTCTAGATTCCGCAGAGTTCTAAGTACCTCTTTTTGGCGTATGCGAATTGGCGCCATAGTGCAGCCAGCCTGAGGTAAGATTAGATCCAGACGTGAACTATTTGCAAAGAGTGAGGCAAAAAGATTTGCCTTGTCATCTGCAGTATAGGCCAGCGTGCCGTCCAGCCTCGGCAGAGGTGACATAGATAGGCGACAAAAGTTAGTTAGTGGCTTTATAAAGATGTTTTGTTTAAAAAATTAATTTGTCAATTTCTGGCGTCGCCATTTCCACTACGCATTCGCAATATGAAAGCGTGCGCGTGCGTACGATCGGAGCGACTGATCGAACTGATAAAAAATTGATTACTATAGAAAATACGTTATTTTATTTTTTCCTTTGAAAAAGTATTTGTATAACGGTTTTTGTAAAAACAATCAATATCGGTGTTTGTTTTTCACACAAATTCGTTTTAGAGTCGCGCTTGCGCCGCCGGAACGCCGCCGCCGCCGACACTTTTGTCGGCGCGCCGTCGATCTGCCGGTTGATCTATTATCGGCGCTCATGTCTACTTTTATTACGTTCGGCTTGACCTATTTTTATTACAAAAAGGAGCAAGATGAATGTAAACGTGCATCTACTACTTTTTTTCTCATTATGGTCCTTATGCTTCGGATTCCAAATGCAGAGTTCTGCTTGGTAACACTCTAGAAAGAACAGTCTCGTTTGACCAGTCCATTTTCCAAATTTATAACCACGTAAAGCTCGTAGATTATATTATAATAGTTGTTTTTGAATTATATCCGCTAAGGAAAAGGTTGACAGACAGACATGTCTATAAAGATGGCACAGCGTCATCTTTTTTTGTTAATATTATACGGCATATCTATCAACCCAACGTAGCAGAACAGAAACGTCTATCTGTCGACAGTTATCAAACAAAACTTACTAGCACAAAAATGTGGATACATGGCAAGTTCAAACATCATTCACACATTTGTGCTTGCGCGCCCTTGCCATGGTTTGGCAAGCGCGTGGAGCCGGTATTAGGTGTATTAGGTATATTTACAACATGTGTGGTACTAAAAAATAATGTGACAACCCTACGCTCCGAGGCAAGTGTAGGCATTTATGCGCCGAACAGGCGGGAGTAGCCTTACTTGCTCTTATTATACTATGCCATAACACATACTGTTTAGGCCCAGTGGTTAAATAAAATGCTAGTGGACTGGAAATTGTATTCGAGAAAATGGAAAGAAATTGTCAAATATGATATAATTGAACGATGAATTATGCTTTATGGTAGACTAAGATTTTTTATTTTATTTATTTCGTGCTATTTCAACAAATTCTGAAACCCTTGAGGTTTTAGAATGTGTCACGTCTGACAAGTGAAAATTAAGTAGTTACAGTCTACATGAAGTACAACTTAAGTTAACGTAAACGATCTTATATAAATATATATATAGGTTAGGCACAAATTATTTAATAATTACATTTATTTTAATAACTTAGGGTAAGTTGTAACTAAGAACGTGCGAGAGCGAGCGAGAAGGTACTGGTTTTGCTGCATTAATGTTCTCATTCGCCTGTTCTTGACAGTAGTTTCATAGATGTAGAGGCTGTTGCTTTTTATGAAACGGTTTTATTTCATTATTAAAACTTCACTATCGAATTGAAATCGTAAATCTGTAGGCAATTTATTAAGGATGTATTAAGTGGGGTGGTGCTATCAACCCAGACGGATTCTGCAGAATCTATTTACGATATCTTGTTATATTTTGCTATAATTTAAAAAACCCGTTCCTGCAGTTCAACTTTAACATAATATGTTACAGTACGAAGAAATAGAAGCCGGTCAATACGAAGAGTACATAACTGATGACCAGTATGAAGAGGTGGAGGAGCAGGTGATCGGTGGCATGCAGCACCTGGAGGAAGGTCAGTTGATAGCATCATTCATCATCAGCATTTATATCCATTCATCTTGCACCGCACATAATCGTACAGCTAATGGCTAGAGCATGAACAAGGAGTAATGGCATGGAGGGAAGAGCATGAGTAAAGAGCCTTACTGCGAATGTAAACTTGGAGAAGTTTTAGTGATAATAATTAATCTTTTAGGGCATGGGAGAGGCGATAGTCTAAGGGTCGTATTCTAGAACTCTACTCAATGCTCAAGTCGGGATTTGAGTATGGTTTAAAGCACTCGAAGTCATACTCAAGTCCCTGCCATTAGGGTCGTATTTCCAGTGTTTGTGTTTCAATTGCAATCCTGACTTGAGCATTGAGTAGAGTTCTAGAATACGACCCTTAAAAACCTCAAAAGTTCATGAAGTTCCCTTAGAGGTGGAATATTTTCTTCAAATTTAAATGGGACCACTACTGAGGTACCCTCTTTCCAACAAAATAAAATCATCCAAATCGGTTCACAATAATAATAATAATAATATGCTAGACAAGTCGCATTATTTACCTTGTCTCAAACTAGGGAATTTATTGTATTGTGAGTTAATTAGTAGTAGACTCCAGTCCATTACTAATTTACAAAAGTTCGTTCCTTAATTGATCCTACGGCGACACTTATCGATGCCTAACTTTCACAAAGTCGTATCTTATAAAGAGTCATTATTCAGACGATGGCAAAACTTTCTATTCATTTTAAATTTCTTATCAAGGATATTAATTTGGATGCATTAGTTTAAGAATAGGTAGAAGCTAGTGTGTAAATATGAAGGAAATATGATGTGAAATCAGGCTGCCAACTTTGTATATACAATAAATTTTTTGCATCTCAGTAACTTTGTGCTTTAAGATACGAGTTTGAGAAAGTAAGGCGACAATATCTCAGGTAATGAAATCATGCAATCAATAGGAAAAAGCGGACTGTTGACAAGTTCGAAATAACTTTAGTATTTACCGAGCTAATACATACATACATCCATACATACATACATACATCCATACATATACTTCACGCCTTTTTCCCATCGGGGTAGGCAGAGACAACAGTCTTCCACTTGCTACGGTCCTGACACACATCTTTCGCCTCATCAACACGCATCAATGCTTTCATACACGCTCGTCGGTTAAGGGTATTCTTGAAGTGAGCGTACCCACAGATCCAGTACCAAATCTCCTCATTGGTGGCGGAGCTGTACGGCACGCTCACTTCCCGTTGCCGAAAAACGACGTCTCTTCAGTTCCCAATAACCTAAGCGGCTGGAGGGACCGGACAATATCTAGCTTATCCTCTACTAGCTCCGAGCTAATAACATCAATATATTGTTAAAAATTACAAGATGACATAGTTTTAAAATTCAGTTAATTATTAGCTGAATATAATGACCGCCTTTCGTATATACATACATTGTCAACAAACTTTCGTATCTTAATTGAAGCATTGGGAACGACAAGGGCGTTCGGCACCCAAAATCCGTTTTGATGTTATTGCATCAAAACGTGTAAAACATTATCTAGTATCTTGTGACAAAAACTCATTTCGATCTCCCTTCTTGATAGCGTAATTTTGATTCATTTAGATGGTGGTGCTCCGCCCTTGTGGCATAGATTATAAATGTGCGTCTGAATTTCGGACCCGTTACCACCTGCAGTTTGTAATAACTTATTTTAATGCATTGACTTACAAATAAATGGACGACGGGTCCAATACAAAAACCACGAAAAAAATGTCCCAAGTCAACCTATTTAAACGTAGTGACATGTAAAGGAATATGACGTTGAATTTAAATTGTAATGTCATCGCAGTACTGTCTAATTTTGCTTGCTTCGCAGTCAGTCGAACAAACGAAGACTAAAGCGTGAATGACGCTCTGTATACGATTTTAACGCCCTATAAGTTCGGACACTTTTTAGCGCGGACCCGACGTCCATATAATTGTAAGTCAATGTTTTAATGTAAAAAAATAGTCTGAAACGTTCATCCTCAACTCTGGAGCATATAGCAGGCCAGTGAGACCTGCTGAAGATGATACTGTAGATTCATTTCAATCCAGCGAATTTAATGTATGATTTAAAATACGTTTAATTTTTTTTTAAATGTAATTTCCTTAAAAACCAATAATAAAACGAACGCCTCATTAATTTACCGGTTTGATGCAACAAGAGCGGATAACACAAGGAAAAAAAAATATTTACAAATGTTTCTATTTGTTTTAACATAATTATAACACCGAATCGTTTAGCTAAATCATAGGACAAATAAATAACAAAGTATATAAGAGTCATATTATAAATATTAAAAAGATATAACACATCAAAACTTTATTTTCAATTTTCTCGAATCTCATTTGTACACGTTTCAATGCTTCAATCTTAAAAGTATAAAACAAAATTACGTTAAGGAAATCGCCATAGAATAAACCTATTAAAATTCATGTTTACTCAATTTTATATCTGTTTACACAGATACTTAATTAATGTAAATATATTATAACGACGTTCTGACGGTGTTTTGCGTAAGAGTTTACTATATCCTACTATATATTGATTTTCTATTGTTTCGCGTTTCTGTTTAATAGTCACGTGTTCCTGTTCTGTAGCGACGTGTTCCTGTTCTGTAGTCACGTGTTCGTGTTACATATTCAAGCTTTCCTGAACTGTAGTTACGCGTTCCTATTCTATAGTCACGCGTTCTCGTTCTATGGTGACGCGTTCCTGCTCTGTAGTCACACATTAACGTACTTACTACATAATACGTGCTATGATTTTGACAGTTTGTATTTCCAATATCTTAATGAGCCAGGCATACTAGGGTTGGTCCCAGGTGGTCAGTCCCATATCATTCTACATAAGTTTTGTTTATAGTGCCCCTCCCTATAAACCTCTTGGTCATGCGGGAAGGTCACTATGACCTGTGCGCGCACAGGAACTTTATAAGTTTAGGTTTTGACCCCAGAATCAGTCAGTGTACAGGGTTGTCACAGACCTCTGTCACTTGACTTCATCCGGTTCTTCAAGAGGCTAGTGCCTCGGGTGAGCCGCCCCGGGTGCACCCTATAGTACCCTCCCTATTTTCCAGATAGGTACCGGAGCTGTGGGCACGCTCACTTTCCGTTGTGCATTGTACAACTAGCGGTTGCCACCGCTAAACCGGAGTCCACTACCAAATCTCATCATTGGTGGCGAAGCTGTAAGGCACGCTCACTTTCCGTCGCCGAAAAACGACGTCTCTTCAGTTCCCAACAAACTAAGCCGCTAAAGGGACCTGAGATGCCAGTCGCAGTGTCCTGTGACAATGTCCGGACATAGCTTCTACTTGCCTTGCCCTTAGGCAACTGACGTGCCCCGCGCGTCTCCTCGCTTCAGGCCCTCAACTAGACCGCTATTAAGACGCGCTAGCTGCTCACGGGACAGACGCCCCGATCACATCCAACCGGGGCAGACAAACATGTCCGTCCCTGCAGCTAACCACAAACCCCCGCGAGTCCATACCCAAGTCCGGGTCCACCAGAGACGCCCTTATTTTTTTTTCATTGGCGGAGGGTTTGGCCCGGACGCCCTCTGTACCCTGGTCTTGCCGTCGAGCCCGTAGTCTCCCCGGAAAACCTTATCTCTCGGGTCGGTAGGTTCCAGGTGGTCTTGCTAGCTTTCGAAATTTCGTAGCTTTTGAGCTCCTTGTGAAAAAGTTTGTTCAGGGACGTACTGCCGCCAAGTAGTAATGTGAGCAGTACTGCTTTCCGGTTTTGAAGGGTAGGCGTGCTGGTGAAATTACACGCACATAGGATCTTGTCAACTTATGTCTCAGGGTGACGGGCGGCGGATGGCGAGCGTCTCGTCACTTGGTCAAAACTCTGTCTTATGTCTAGATGGCGCAGATCAATAGCCTTGAAGTAGTTAATAATATGTAAATGGCCGTGGATATCAATTAAACCCTCTTTAATGTGAAATATAAGAAGGCAGTTTTTTCCTTGTAATATTATTTCAATATTGATCATATAATTTTATGTACTTTGTCAAATACATAAAATAATTGCGTTTCAATAGATGGCATTGTTTGTTAGAAAGTAATTTATAAATTAATACATGTAATATGGGTAGATGGCGTTAATCCTAAACGAAATAAATGACTAGCCAACAGTATTCATAAAAATCAGTTCAATAAGCGCCATCTAGTCCATTTGTTTGTTATAATTAGAAATTAGAGTAGCTTTGATAAATTGCAGCTCGTCAATGTAAAACAAATTAGTTACTATTTGGTACTCGTCGCGACATCTGGTGTACCATCAGGCACTAAATACCCGACTATCTAATCCTCTTGAGTTATGGTCCATGGCACACATGGTACACATATGGAACATAGTTTCATAGTTTCATTTCTAATGCGTAGCAATGGCGAAGATCTAAATTCGAAACATACGGATAAGTCAAGATCATGTTTCAAGTTGTTATCAAGTTTACAATTTTAGAACGCTTGCAACCCGTCTACAGACCTACCGCTTAACTGAGTCGGTTCCTGAGGTATCTGCGCGGTGCGGGAGGGGTGACAGTTTACGTAACAGTTATTGTCGCGCTGCACACGGGATAATTTCAACGACATTTTTCTGACAATATTCAATGACAAGTTGATTAAAAAAGTCCCTACCTAATTAGTCAATTCTTATTATATGAAACGATAATAAAAGTCTGTATCGTTTCTCATTTGAGAGTAGTTCCCAGGTCGTGGAAGCTTGCAAACGTGCAACTTGTGCCGTAAAAGGGAAGCATAGCTGATCCTGTCAATTATAGACCTATCTCAGTCACTTCCATACTCTGCAAGACTTATGGAACGTGTACGTTGTCCTGTCGTACCTTGAAGACAACGACCTCCTCAGTGATCGCCAGTACGGATTCCGACTAGGGCGATCTGCTTGTGATCTTCATATGTATGCCTGTTACATATGGAACGAAGCTATAGAAAAGCAACGCGAAGCACTTACAGTGTCTTTGGACATTTCAAAGCCTATAACAGGGTTTAGCACGCAAGCCTTTTAAGTAAGCTTCCCTCATATGGGCTTCCCACAAACCTTTGCAATTGGATCTCAGATTTTTTGAGCGAACGTTCGAATCTAGTGGACTTAGAGGGCTCCTCTTCCGAACTTATGGCGATTGATGCCATGATTGATGAGTTCCTCAGGGTTATGTAATGTCTGCAACTCCCTTTCTGCTGCATATCAATGATACGTTAATTCCAGCACAGTTGTAGATAGTTACTTGACCAATGCAAGGGTCAGTGGAGAGGAAATCCAGTCTTGTCGAGAGTCCATGGTTAGCAGTTTGGTTTTGACACTCAAGGCAGTCTCCGATTGGGGCGATGGCAATCTTGTCAAAATTAACGCTACCAAAACGCAGGCGTGTCTATTCTCCACAAAACGGAGTCCTTTGAGCTGACTCCGACATTTCGTGACATAGCCGTCTGTCTCCAGCTACGCTCAAGCTGAACTTCATACATTGAAACCATGGCCAAAAATGCATCCACGAAGCTTGGCATCCTTTCCAAGGTGAAGTGTTACTTCACACCAGCGCAGTAGCTTCAGCTGTACTAAGCACACGTCCGGTCGTGTATGGAGTACTGCTGCCAGTTATGGGATGACTCTTCTAAATACCAACTGGTCACCTTGGATTCAATCGACAACTGTGTCAAGAGGCTTATAAGTGACTCGGTATTAGTAGAGTCGAAGCTGCAGAGCCTTGAACACTGCCGTAAAGTTGTCTGCTTATCGGTATTCTACAGGATATATCACGGAGAGTGTGCGATAGAATTGCATAATTCGATTCCGCCTTCCCCTTTCCATCATCGGGGGACTAGACGTGGGCTGGGATTCCGCCCCTATGTTGTGGATTTTTCCAGGATTCGCACGAATCGTATAGCTTCCACATTTATATGGCCAGCGTCTAGAGAGTGGAGTTACCTATCTGCGAATTTATTTAATGTATATGACTTGGATCTTTTCAAGACGGGAGTGAATAGGCATTGTTTAGGTGTACATGCTACATCGTCGACCTCATCATCTCTTTCCATGGAGGTCAAATGCGCACTTATTTATTATTTAAAAAAAATCAACAAGATTTTTCCGACGATATTCAACAGTTGATTGAAATTAGTGCCTACCAAATTAGTCAATTGTTGTTATGTGAACCGCTAATAAAAAAAACTACTTAATTGATAATTGAAATTAATAGACAAACCATTTCGTCGTCTTACATTCTCAAACTCGTATCTTAAAGCATCAAGTTACTGAAATGCTAAAAATGGACTATATATAAATTTTGCAGGCTGATTTCACGTTACATTTCTTTCTTATTCGCACACTGGCTTTTACCTATCCTTAGGGTCGTATTATAGAACTCTACTCAATACTCAAGTCAGGACTTGAGTATTGCTGTGAGCACTGTAAAATCATACTCAAGTCCCATTTAGGTTCCCATTAGGGTCGTATTTCCAGTGCTTGAAATCATAGTCAAGTCTGCTCAAATCCTGACTTGAGCATTGAGTAGAGTTCTGGAATACGACCCTAAAAGTGTCCAAATTAAGGGCGCGTTTAAATTAGACGATTTCTAGACGCACTGCAGCAGCGCAACGGACGCGTCCAATTGTATGAAAAGTGACAGTCGCGCGGCTGCAGCGCGTCTAACAGTGGCTCATTTTAAAGCGCACTAACATTCTTGATAAGAAATTTAAAATAAATTGAATAATCACTCTTTATAAGATACGAGCTTGAGAAAGTAAGTAAAGTAGGCGGCGATTTGGCACATTTTTTCAATCAACTTGTTATTGAATATCGTCAGAAAAATCTTGTTGACATTATCGCATGTGCAACGCGACACAACTGTTACGTAACCTGTCACTTCCCCCGCACCGAGCAGCTACTTCAGGAACCGACTCAGTTAAGCGGTAGGCCTGTAACTCTTTAACATTGTAGAAGCTAACGCTGTCACCACTGCCGTTTCACCGCACCAATTTCATCATCGCTTATTTCGCTTGCTAACCTCACCGTCATTATCATCATCACCCATCATCACTTACCATTCAACGTCAGCCCTGCTGACAGATTATAAACTTGCAGTGGGCAGCGAAGAAGTCATCCTGCCAGGAATATCTGGAGAAGAAGTCCTCAGCGCCAATGCAGATAGCCCTTATGATCCTGTGTACTCAACTCCGCCTTCTACTAGCAGGTTGGTCTCGTTTCTTTATACACTGTTGTAGTAGTCCGTGCCGGATTATGTTAAGTATTTGATAACAATGTTGCCATCCCTTTCGGTCGTGACGCGAAAGCAATTAGAGACAAGGTATCTAATAATAAAAGACCGTTAAATCATCATACAATATTGTTGCGCAAGTTGCGATAGCATGACATGATGTACGTCGACTCATCCGTAGAATAAAGATCTATGTGCGAGACTACTTGTTCTCAGGACATAGCGCATTTCGTTCGTTCTTCTTTGCTGTGGATGTCTCATCGACTGTTGTTCGATTTTATATCTCCGAAACGAAATAAGATATATAAATTCTCGAAACATCTTTACATATACTTTACTTTGAATAACAAAATTATTCTCGTAACGTACTTATTCCCTTTTCTTTTTATAATCACATCGGACTCTGTTGTTCGGAGGAATCCATGCATGTAAATTGTCATTTGTTATTGAACAATCAATTACTTCGTAATAAATAATAATTAAGTAGCAGTAGACTGCCTAGTGAAAGAGTTCGTCCAGGGAAGTACTGCCACCGTACCTATTTCTAAGTAGTAATGTTTATATTACTGCGTTCCGGTTTTGACGGGTAGAGGCGTTGGTGAAATTACAGACACATGGTACTTTGTCTTAGGGTGACGGGCGCAGGGGCAGTGCCCCAAAGATCTTTGCGATTTAAAGCTCCGAGTGGCACTTCAACTGTTATGGATACGACCAGGCGCAAGATTTGTTCGTCTCGTCTCTTAATATTAGGGGTTAAAGTATGAAATTGCAGTTTTATTGCAATAGGTTCTTTGAATTTTCATAGAATCTTCATGGTTTGAGGTTTTCGAATGAAACTTTTTTCAAATGGTTTCTGTGATTTTTTTTTTTAAATTTGAAACATTTGAATATCGACTTTCAATTGTTTTTGTTATTCAATTTAGACAAGAAAGATGGATACTGCGAAAATTCGAGTGATTTTTGAATACGAGTTCCGACGCGGAACTAACGCGGCAGAAACAGCCCGCAATATCAATGCTGCGTTTGGAGAGGGGTCTACTAATGAACGCACCGTGCGATTTTGGTTTAAACGCTTTCGTGATGGAAATTTCGACTTAAAGAACGAGTCACGAGGAAGACCGCCCACACAGGTGAATAACGATGAATTAAGAGAGATAGTGGAAGCCGATCCTAGTCAAACTACCCAGGAATTAGCGGCATGGTTTAACGTTACCTTACCCACAATATTGACTCACTTGCGTCAAATCAATAAAATAAAAAAATACGAAAAATGGGTGCCTCATGATTTGACTGATCTGCAGAAAGAAACGCGTGTTGAAACTTGTGTTGCCTTGTTGAACCGGTACAGAAATGAAGGAATATTGGATCGAATTGTAACATGTGATGAAAAGTGGATTCTTTATGATAACCGGAAAAGAAAAATGCAATGGCTGACCCCAGGTCAAATGCCACAACAGTGTCCTAAAGCAAAACTTACCAATAAAAAGGTAATGGTAACTGTTTGGTGGTCTCAGCATGGTGTTATTCACTATAGTTTTCTCCGATCTGGTCAAGCAATAACGGCAGATGTCTATTGTTCCGAACTCCGAACCATGTTGACAAAACTAGCAGTAAAACAGCCCCGACTCATGAATCGATCTTCACCATTATTGCTCCACGACAACGCGAGACCTCACACAGCACGAGAAACCATTTTGACCCTTCAGGAACTGCAGTTAGAAACCATTCGTCATCCTCCGTATTCACCAGACCTTGCTCCAACGGACTACCATTTTTTTCGTGATTTGGACAATTATCTACGTGACAAGAAGTTTTCTTCCCAGGAGGCAGTACAAAATGCTTTCACACAGTTTGTGCAGTCTAGATCGTCGGAATTCTATCGCAAAGGCATTAATAACCTTCCCATTAGATGGCAGCAATGTATAGATAATAATGGCAACTATTTTGATTAAATAAATTTGTTAAAAATTTAAAAAATAAACAATTTAGATTTTCAGTACAAATCGGCAATTTCATACTTTAACCCCTATTATCATAAAAGAAACCTCAATATTCACTTTGAAATTTTAAGCATTAGACTAAGAAGAAATTATGTCAGAAAAATATCGAATAAAATGTATCTAGTACTAAAGTATCGATATCGAAAAGAAAGGACTCTACTAAATAATCTCTATACAGAGTACTAAAACACCCGACCTCAAAAGTCATTAGTAGTTTGCCACCCTTCAGAGGCGTTATATTTCCTTCATATTGAAATGGGACCACTACGAGGTGCCCTCTGTCCAATAACGAATCATCAAAACCTGTTCACAAATTGGAGTTATGGCGTAACGTACATACAAAAAAAAAGAACATACAGTCGAATTGAGAACCTCATTTTTTGAAGTCGGTTAGAAAACATTGATACTTTTCCGTGTTCCTAAGCACGAGTATATGAAAGAGAGAGAGCAAAAGGTACTCGTTTGTGAATCGTAGTATTAATTTAAATAATGTGGTATACTTGCAGACAACGCTTTAGTTTACATTAATAAGTCATTATAATACTCTGGGATCGCGATTTCAAAAGCAACTGACCATAATTATTTTTTTTGAAAATTTAGCTTTAAGGCGGTCTCTTTTTGGACATCAATCACTTTTTTCAACCTTGCAATTTTGTAAATAATTTAACAGAAAACTGAACACACTAGATAAAATAGTTTTTAGATCGTGTCTACATTAGTTGGTATCATGGATCTATAATTCAAGAGGAGTTCTGATCTCCATATTGCAGATCGTAAATCTGAAAAAGGTTGAAATTCCATCTCATATCTAGATGGCGCAGAAAAGCTTGGAAGTATTTATATTATGTAAATGACCGTGGACATCAATTGATTTCTCTTTAATACGAAATATAAGAAGTCAGTTTTTTCCTTTTTAATATTATTCACATGTTGATCATGAGCAAAGGTCGAAAAAAGGCATCGAGTATATAACCAGAAATAGAGACGAAATAAGGGCCATACAATCCTAGTAAGTCATCAGTGATACATCACTTATAAATATCAACTCTCGTTTGCACTGAAATTACAAATTAGAAAGCTGAAATAGTACAGTGCCAACAACTGACCTGTATGTACGTCTCCATATATTCCAAAAATATTCTGTGTTTATGGTAACAATGGCGTGCTGTACCATTCGGTGGTGTGGGAAAAAACAGCAAAACATCTAATTGCAAAACGAGCGGAATCAAATTTCATCTGTAATATGTAATTTTGCAATTTTCGTTCATTACAGTAAAGCTCAAGTTAACTGGTCGATTTGAAGTGAAACAATTGACGACACCCGTCAATTGTTTCGAATTCAGGCTCGCCAATCGGAGCGCAGTTGTCACAGTAATGATAAGGCAGAATAATTTTTAAACAAATTAAATGACATTTCGTCTCTATTTCTGATTACTCGATGGAACGTGTTCCACGTACATAAATACATGTATAGACATAGCTACAATGAGCGACTCAGAGTTGTTAAAACCACCGAATATTAATTAATGACTTTTTTCGATATCCGGACGAAAGAAACTCCTCTCTTTATTCTATTTATGAAGATAAATAAAATTAAAGTAAATTTTTTTCTTTCTTAAGTTTTACTAGCAAATGTCGCCGTTCAATGTCACCGTTAATATGCGGTGTCTAAATCTAGGGAGGGGCGGAGAGTGACCATTCTCGTTACTTTTCTTTTTCTCTGTTTTGGTAAAAGGTCAACTATCTACTGCATTTTTTACATGGCACCATGAGAATTACTTTAAAATCCAACTTCGACTTCCTATGTCAGTAGTTTATTTCTACAATGCATTAAAACCATTTCCGGAAATCTGAAGTGAATACGAAACAGTAATTAATTAATATTTGGTGGTTTTAACAACTCTATATCGTTCCTTGTAGCTATGTAAAATAGATAGTAAAAAGTAACACAAGTAAACTTATAGTAAAAAGATGAGCACAAAATTCTCTTTTAACAAATGTTCAAATTATTTAACTGTTTTATATTACTTCTGATTTATATTAATGATCTGCCATTCTTTGTTAAGGTCCATTGCGAAGTAGTGTTGTTTGCTGATGACACATCCTTGATTTTTAAAACAGACAGACATGACATTACCTATGACCGTATTAATGATACTCTCTCTAAGGTAGTTTATTGGTTTAATGCTAACAATTTATTGCTTAATGCCAAAAAGACAAAATATGTTAAATTTGAATTACCTAACGTAAAATCGACTAGTCCAAGCATAGAAATAAACGGAGAAAAGTTAGACTTTGTTAATAAAGCAGTCTTCTTGGGAGTGACCCTAGATAGTAAACTTCAGTGGTTTCCACATATATCGTCCCTGGCCAGCAAATTAAGCTCCGCTGCATACGTAGTCCGCAGAATACGTGAGCTTGCCGATGTTAGTACTGCTAAACTAGTTTACTTTAGTTACTTCCATAGTATAATGTCCTACGGGATTCTCATGTGGGGTAAAGCGGCAGATATTCAAACCATATTTGTATTGCAAAAACGAGCGATTCGTTCTGTGTACCGTCTAGGCTCTCGGGTATTTCTCAGAGAAAAGTTGGAAACTGGTATCATGACTGTGGCATCACAGTACATATACTCAAATAATTTATATGCCCGTAAAAATATACATAATTTCAATAAGAAAGAAGATATCCATAATATTAACCTTAGAGCTAAGTCCAAACTCATGGTACCACGATTTCGTTTAACCAAGGTAAACAACTCTTTTATGGGGAACTGTATACGTTTTTACAATAAGATTCCGGAGCATATATTAAGTTTATCATTTCCTAAGTTTAAAAACTACATTAAAAATATTTTGATCGATAAATCATATTACAAAATTGAAGACTACGTGTTAGATAAAGATGTATGGAAAGACGACATGGCTCCAGAATCCACACAAATTTGATTCAAAGTGTATTCCATAGCATTTAAGTTTATTTGAAAAGAGCAATCCCTAGAGTTTCTTGCTCGTTCTTCTCAGGGAGGTCAGCGTAGTGAACGAGCAGTAGCTTAAGTGTGACGTTTTCAAGTGTACATTTATTTTACCTATGGAATAAATAATCTTTGACTAACATATTCGATTTATCGTAACTTACTCTAACGATGCATAGCTGCAATATCATTAAACAATTTCAAGTTTTATAAGATATCTCAAAAAATATTTTGTCACTTAGCCTCATTTTAATTACCGGACGACGGAATATTATTTTCTGAACTTTGGCAAATATGCGTGTCAATAGATGGCGTTGTGTGATGAACGCTTGCTAAATTGAGTAGAGGGCGGTAATCCTAAACAAAATAAAAAATCAATTGGCGCTATCCTTAAAAATCTGAGCTATAAGCGCCTCTTAGTAGATTTGTTTGTTATCACTAGAACTTCTAGTAACAAATTGCAGCTTGTAAAACAGATTAGTTACAAAAAGAGCTGTCTTGCACTCGTAGCGACACGCTATTTTGTATCGTGATTAACAGTTCAATTGAATTATTGGTCCATGGTTAGTATCATAACGTCATTTCCTTAGGTCTCAGCCGACGCTGAAACAGGAACGACTGAAAATCAGCGTCTGTCTCACCCGAGATGGACATATTGCTGAGTCTTATCCTTTTCTTCTTCTTCTTCTATACACACTTACTAATTTAAAATCACGCAGCCATTTGTGGTTTTAGTGTTAGACTTAAGTATTAGATTTAAGTGCGTATAGTGACTCAATTTAATGTATAAACGTTTTTCTTTCTTCTTTCTTTCTTTCTATATCGTATAAAGTAGGATAAAACTACATTTGTTGTAGTGTTTGAGCTAGTCACGTTTGTTCACATTAAAGTCATATTTTGTGCCTCTAGAGCTGGGTACGACGTACTTTAATCGGTCACTGCGTCCAAATAAATATGTGTCTATTTTACATTTAAAAAAAGAATGTTTGTGTGGGACTTGTGCGCTAAACCTCCCCTTTAAGTTAATCATGCTTATTCACAATAAACTCGCTCATTTTGTACGTAATTATGGTACGGCGTACTTTTGCCGGTCACATCGTCGTTTAATGTCACGTGAAAGTGTGACATTGTCGTCACCTTACTTTCTCAAACTCTTATTATTATCTTAAAGCCATTGACTTACAATTGTATGGACGTCGGGTCCGCGCTAAAAAGTGTCCGAACTTATAGGGCGTTAAAATCGTATACAGAGCGTCATTCACGCTTTAGTCTTTGTTTGTTCGACTGACAGCGAAGCAAGCAAAATTAGACAGTACTGCGATGACATTACAATTTAAATTCAACGTTTTAGCTTTTTCATATTCCTTTACATGTCACTACGTTTAAATAGGTTGACTTGGGACATTTTTGTATTAGACCCGTCGTCCATTTATTTCTAAGTCAGCACAATGCAAAAAATGGATTGTATATACAAATGTTGCAAGCTGATTTGACGTCAAATTTCTTTCATATTCACACACTGCTTTTTACTTATTCTTAAAGTAATGCATCCAAATTGACGGCCTTGATAAGAAATTTAAAATAAATAGAAAGTTTTGTCACCTCCTCCATAATCACTCTTTATAAGATACGAGTTTGAGAAAGTAAAGCATAGATATGTTATCCAACTTACAGTTTAAAACTATTAATTGTTCCAGAAGGGGTCGCGGCAGACCACGGGCAAGCGCAAATAACAACGCCAATAATATACAACACTTAATGCCTATTGGTAAGTTACTGTTTATTACAAATAACTAGTTATAGTGCGTATATTGATAGTACATTTCAAGCGTGATACAGACAAGAATACATGTCTGCACTGATGAAATTAAGAGGTTCAGTCACAGGTTCCCAATTTTTTTGGCTTGCCTCCCACTTAGGCAAGATAAAAAAATTTCAACGCCCACCATCACAAAAGATAATTGAAAACACGTATTTTTTATAGATATATAGATAAACGTTTATTTGGATCTACAGACATACATAACAGAAAAATTGTAATATAATAAAAAGAAAAAAAAAACCAGCAGAGTCGCTGCACTGCCGAACATCCAGTTATGTATGTGTGCTGTAGAAGTGCAAAAAGGCCATAGCTCATCGTCGGTGTTTACTCAGGAGCAAACCGCTGATTTTCAGCTACAACCTAGACTCTAGGTTGCAGCTTGTCTAGGCACCCTGCCGCGGATACGGTAACCAGGTACCTGACGCCATTTCCATGTTGTATAAATTAAACAAATAATAATTTTGAAACTAAATAAATACTGAAGATAATATAAAAATAATAAATTATAATATTTATATTAACACAAAAAATTACAAAGAAAAAATATGTATATATATGTAGTGTAGTTTAAATAGATAATTCAGGTTTTTTTTCTCAAATGCGGTAACACCTTTTGGACAGCATCAACGGCCCTAATTACATCCGAGGTCCCTAACGCCCCCCTAGAACTCCGCGCCTAGTGGGTTCTGTAAATTGGCTTAATGTAGAGAGTGAGAGTGTAGGAGCTAATGGAACCGGTTTTGAAAAATGCTTAAAAGTACATGTCTTGTCGTACGAATATTAATTCATATCATCATATACAGCCTCACTTCACCCACTGCTGGGTGTATACAGGCTTCCAAGTTTCTGTACTACTCCCCACGGTCGCGTGTTAATCTCATCCAGGTTTGCCCCGCAATTCCTGCGATGTCGTTCACACATCTCGCCGTAAGAAACAGGTATATCGGGCGTTTAGCGGTGAGATGGGTGGACGAATCTTAATTAGGTGTCCAAAATGTGAACAAAGGGGATAACCAAGCAAAAAATACATTTAAATGGTAGTTTCCTATTTTTAACGATAACAAATGTTTAGAATTCTTTCATCTTGTAATCTGATAAAATTTAGAAAAAATGACATTTTGCTATATATATTTTTTGTTAATTTCGTTGTATACAATGATTACGATAAATGATTATTTTTAAGGTCGTAAATACTTTTGTGACACTAGTAATACAATCGGGATCAAAAACATTTTTTATGCCGCCATTTTGTCGTGTCATAGATGTCTTTCGTGTTTCTTTTCTCGACCTCTCTCTGTCTGTCTTCGTAGTGCGTTTGTTAAATTATTGTGTGTTGTTGTTATTTGTTGATATTTTGTGACAGATAAATAAAATTGTAGAAAATGAGAACCTCCTCCTTTTTAAATTGTGTTAAAAATAAAAGGTTTGGTACAACTGCATTCTCACTTTTACAATGACATTTCTTTGTTTACATTTTGGACAAACGTCGAATTATCATTCATATGTAATATACGTAGTACATATTCCATAATGTGTACAATAATACAAAATATGTTACTGCTATTTCTCTCACCTGAAACTGAATCGCATTTGGTTTTATGTACAAATAGATTAGTTATTTACTTTTAAAAGTAATGTGTCTTTTATTATTAATCATACAAAAATTGAACAATCACAAACAAAATTTCCTTCGATTGGTTTAGACTAGAACCAGTGACTGTTGCCTCAATGCCACATTACTGCTTTATCAACAGAGCTACGGGTCAAGCTACACAGATACCTCTATTCGCCCTTAGAGATCTCGCGCTTTATGTCGCTCTCGCGCAAGTTGCGCCCTGTCGTGGCTAGCACGACAGGACATACTACAGATGTGCAAATTTCTCTATGTGCTTGTGACTGACATTTGTATTGCGTTTAAACACCTTTATTGCCGTAGACTTATGAAAACGTGTCTTCACTCAGAGTTTCATGATATTTTACTTACTAGAATATTATTGTAATAAAAATATCATGATATTCAGTAAAATAATGTTTTTATTTAAAAAAAAAAACTTAAAAAAATTTAATGTCCGAAATATACCCTATAGTTAGTTATCATGAATGTACACTCAACAGAATGTCAGTTAATAAATAAGAGTAATTTGCACATCTGTAAAAACCAGTACGTATTGAAAATTCTGTCGAGAGCTGTGATTCATTTAGCTCATATAAGTTTGCGGTGTTTGCAGGCGAGGTGCCCATGGGTCTAATGGAAGGCGTCAGCGGGGGCCGAGGGGCTGCGCGGAGGTGGGAACAGAAGCAGGTGCAGATCAAGACCATGGAGGGGGAGTTTAGTGTCACCATGTGGGCTACTGGAGAAGACGACGGTAAGCGTACCTCGGCTTAAGGCCCGTCTACACGGTCGTGCTTTCGTTAGTCATTTGCTAAAACCAAATACGCACGTGTGCAGTGCGATCGTGTAGGCCAGAGGTTCCCAAACTTTTTGTCTCGAGGCCACAAAGAACAATTTTTTTGTTTTGCTGACCACCCGTCTTTTTAAATTCATCAACTTCTCACGTGTTTTTGACAGCTGACACATGCTACAAACTTTGATGTAACTGTAGAATGAGGAACTTTATAAAAAAGAAAACATTTTAAGTTTTATGATGGGGCTGCCGCGTTACTGTGTTGTATTGGGTGACTTTCATGTCGTGCAAGCGAGTGGCATTCCTAATGATGCGCGTGCGCAGCAGCGTCAACAGTCTCCTGAGGCGGTGGCTGATACAAATGACAGCCTAATATTCTGCCAGTGAGCAAGGTCACATATAAAATATTTAGTCTTTTATTATTTCCTCGCGTTGTTTGAGAAAAGCACTATATAAGCGTCGCCGGGATCGGGGTTGGCTTAACTCTTATTAATACAAGGCTTCGTTGGCGCTCTGCCTTGTAACTCATACTCGCCCGTCAATCCCTTACTTGCTGACCTCTGCAATAATGTACAATTTCATGTATAAGGGCGCGTTCCCATTATGTCGTGACGACAGATTGACCCCTCCTACGTTAACTATCCTATGTCGAAATTGCCAAGTTTACAGGGGAGCGTTTTAAAGTTCTGAATTCACTGAAATAAGCATAACACGTAACTTTGGCATTTCTCAGTTTTATTTGACAAAGCTACTCGTTACTCACATATATAGTAAAGTAAGTATTATAAAATCCTAGATATCGGTTAGATGATAACTCTATGTGAGTAACGAGCTTTGCCGAATAAAACGGAGAACTTTAAAACGCTCTCCTGTAACTTGGCAATTTCGACATATGATACTTTAAGTAGGACGACTCGAGGTAGTCGTGCAGTTTGCAAATGTCATGGCTTGCATATTTCAATGAAGTTGTTCACACACAGAACAACTCGGATAATAACTGTCGTTGACGACTTTTTTGCCGTTACGACGACAGACAGTCGTGACAATGGGAAGAGCTAGAACGACAGCGCGACAGTCGTCCAACGATAAATAAAACGTTACGACTACGTAATAAGAACGCGCCCTTACTGTTTGTTGCCACAAATAAATTTAAAAAAATAGTTTTAATTGAAATATTGTGAATTCCAGATGACGGCTCAAACCCTGAACCAGATCCAGACTTCACCGAGTACATGACCGGCAAAAAAAATATACTCGGGAACGAAACTATGCCAGGTTGGTTTATTATGACGAACCCTTGGACTCCGTTCGATCAGCGGTGGCTCCAATAACCGCAGTCTATCCTCCATTAAATGATATGAAATGAAAGAATTTTATTTGAGACAGTAGGTATAGTTATATGTCCATATGACGTTAGTAGGTACTTACAACTATGTTAGTAAAAAGCTAAGTGTTCATTTTCATGCATATCCAATACTTATGGATTGAGCTGTCCATCCTCTCTGGTACCACCTTAAGAAATCTGCTGGTGCTGCATCTCACTCAGGCCAACAGGGATGCGAACGACTGCCTGAATCTTTGAGGCACTACAGTGTCGAGGCAGTCCCAGCTGTCCCCTGAGGGCGTTGTTGAATTAGACACGCAAGGCACTGTATACTTTTTTAGTGTAATTGCTCCATAGGTTGCACGTGGGGTCTGGCAATATGTTTTGGAAAGGTTTTGTAAATGCACAAAATATGAGAAGTGATTCAGAATAATCCAGATTCAGAAAATATTATTCCAATGATCACGTCATCGCCCAGTGTAACGTACGCCAATGAAAATATTGCATTCAAATTTGACGTTATATGATGTGAAGGCCGTGACAACCTAATGGTTTAACCTACTGCCTGCCTGTCAAGCAGAGACCGTGGGTTCGAATTCGGGTTCGTAATTCTGAGAATCACGGAATTATTATTAAATTATTAAATATGTGCGAATTTTAATCTAGTCTTATATATTAATATTTTATTCTAATCAAACTCACGAGAGAAATAAATCGCACCCCTCACAGAAGAATGGCATAACCGGAGTTACGTCAAACATGTTTATTGCTCCATTAGGTACAGAAAAATATAACCCACATCCTCTCCAATTCTTGTAAATCTGTCTACAATACTAGTCGATTGAGTTACAATAATTGGAGAGGATGTGAGTTATATTTTTCTGTATTTAATGGTGCAATAAACATTTTTGACGTAACTCCGGTTATGCTATTCTTCTGTGAGGGGTGCGTAAATTTAGGCCTTACAATATTTCACCCAGCCCGAGACCTCTGCGTGGCAGTTTAACATGGTCACAGTTCGGCCACGGAAGCAGTAAATGTTATAGTTATTATACCGTGGGCACGAGTTTATTTCAAAGAGAATTTATAACTTTTCTATTGCAAATATAATAATATAATCTCAGTACATAGTACTAAAAAAACCGATCTCAAAAGTACGTGGAATTACATATAATTACTAAGTTTTATTGAAATCGGTTACCGGAAAGTGCGCAAACCCGGATTCATCCCCTAGTTCGCCACTATACGGGACTTGACACAGGAGATAATAAAAATCGGTTCTCACTACTCAAAGTATATTGAGAGAGAAAAAGTCTTGAATTAAAGAATAGCAAAATCAACCATTAAAATAATTGCTCATTATACTAAAATTTAGGCGCTATCTATAAAAATGAATCTTCATGCGTGAACAGCCACCGTTAGAGGTGGATGATTTTCTTCAAAATTAAATGGGACCACTATGGACCTCTTTCCAACAAAAAAAGAATCAAGAAAATTGGTTCACGAATACCGGAGTTATCGCGTAACATACATACAAACCGAACCGATCTTAAAGATTTGTTTTGTTTGTTTGTTTTATTGAAATCAATTAACGGAGAATGGGTGAAATCTAATAAACTGGACTCATCCTCGAATTTGCTACCCTTGGAGGTGGAATATTTTCTTAAAATTTCAATGGGACCACTGCTGAGGTTTATTGGAGAGTTCACAAATGGACTAATCGCGTAACGTTCACAAAAAACAGTCTAATTTGAACCTCCTTATTTTAAAGTCTGTTAATAATGGGTGCTTAATAAACTAAGTAACAGTATAAAGATATGGAAGTTCTATACCTGTATTTTACATCTAATATTATTCTAATTGTTGCACAAAACTTTTCCAGGTTTGGACCTGTCAGATCCTAAACAGCTGGCGGAATTCGCACGACCTGGACACAAGATCAGGCTAAAGAAACCCTCGCCAGAGTCTTCCGACAGAACCATAGGTAGGTTCAATTTCAAATTTTAATTCTGTAAATCCATTTACTTAACGTTAATGAACTGAATATGTTTAAGATATTTAGAAATAAATAACAAAATATTATCAAGAACGTTGCCGTCGTGCATCGTGGTGAATACGCTGGCAACATTTGGTGGCAATAATTACTAGCCCTCTGCAGGGTAGCACGACAGGGCGTTACTTGCGCGAGAGTGACATTTAGCGCGAGATACTACTGCTATTCTCGCATAGAACATTTTTGTTCGAAAATCGCCTCCTGTGCAACGAAACAAGATACGTCAATGTGTAGCTTGATGTGCTGTTGACTGTACATTAGGTAAATATACTCTACTAGTTCCAGTCACTGCTATTATTATATTTGTTTTTAAACCTCGGGCTAATTTAATAATGAGTTGTTAGACATTTCTAACGGTTCAAAAAGTATATATGCCGTGTAAAAAAAATTGGTACAATAATATAAAAACACTCCCTACAGATCAGACATAAACGTTAGGGAACTTTTTTTTTAATTTTAATATAAGTGTGCATTTGACCTCCATCTCACTTGATGGAAAATGACGATGAGGTCGACGGTGGAGCATGCACACCTAGATAAGGGCCTGTATTCGTATGTCATATATTGCTGCTTTATAAGCAATTAGTAGCAGTGGTGGTCCTTGTGAATGAGTTCGTCCAGGGAAGTACCGCTACCTTATCTATTTCTGCCGCCAAGCAGTAATGCTCACATTACTGCGTTCCAATTTTGAAGGGTAAGGGTGCTGGTGAAATTACAGACATTTCAACTCACGTCTCTGGGTGATGGGCGCAGTGGCAGTGACCCTCAGATCTTTGCCATTTAAAGCTCTAGGTCGCACTGCAACTGTTATGAACAGGCGTGTCGTTTACCATCACAAAAAAAAGTTAGGTTTACATGATTGAAGGACGTCTTCTCTCCGAATTTTTATGGTTTTGACGATGGGACGAAGTAAAGTAAGTATAACGAAGAAAAAGAATTCGAGAACGATTCAAATTTTCAAAAGTAAGCAGCCAGGAACCAGAGGAAAGAGTGATAAAAAGGTGGGATTACGATGAAAGATGTCGCATTCACGACGCCACAGTTCGATTTTTGTATCAATAATAATAACCCTGTATTGCCAATTTTTTGTTAACTGTCACGGATATGTTATTAAAATAATGTAGATGTGCGTTATAATGTTTCAGCGTGCCCGCACAAGGGCTGCACCAAGATGTTCAGGGACAATTCCGCTATGAGGAAACATTTGCACACGCACGGTCCCAGGGTTCACGTTTGCGCAGAATGTGGTAAGTAATATATTATGAAAGTCAAATAATCATTTAACCCGTAGGTAAAATTTTTACGATAATGGTACACAGAACGAATCGCTCGTTTTTGCAACACAAATATGGTTGGTTGTTATTATCACGCTTATTTATTAATCCGTTCATGGACAGCATTATATACAGTACCGCTCACAAAATTGTTACTAAAAAGACAGATGTTGTCTTTTTTGATGGAGTGAAATGACAGGTCGTTGCGTAAAAGTGTTGCTCACTTGCGAACAGCTAGTGATTGTAGTCGATAAATATTATTATTTTTTTATAATATGGTAAGCTATACGCCTGTCCATAACAGTTGCAGGGCCACTCAGAGCTTTAAATCGCAAAGATCTGAGGGGCACTGCCACTGCGCCTGTCACCCTGAGACATAAGTTGACAAGTCCCATGTGCCTGTAATTTCACACAGTACGAACTTTAAATTATGTAAACACCAATTGATAGGCTTTATTTTAAATAACGAGATTATATATTTATCATTCGTTGTATAATAACATCAGACTCTGTTCTTCGGATGAGTCGATACGCTAAATTTAGTTGTAGGTGTATATCATAGATATATGTTGTATATCATAGATATTTATATGAAAATACATATAGGAGATATTTTAAAGATTTTCATTTGAATTTAATATACATAAACAAAACTGCCTGTCGTTACTAAACTGTGTATAACTAAAAATTGATTTCGATACTAATTCAAAATTCAAATTCAAATTCATTTATTTTTCAGACAACTTAGTCCATATTTGTTAGTAACAATAATCTTATGTGCTAAGTTAGTAGAGACAAAGAGGACAAAACAATTATCAAATAGGTGCAATTACATTATTATTATACATTATTATTATTATTACTTACATATTACATGTAACTCGGTAAACCGCCGAAAGACAGGCGAGTCCATTCTTACTTCTATCATCTTTAGGATACTATTGGTGCTCCCACGCAGTCGCAACATCTGTGACGCACTTTTTTTGCGCATGATTGCGTAAAAATCATCCACGCATGCATCCGCAAACATGCCAGATGCACTGCAAAAGCGGGGAAGCCTCAACAGAACCCTAAAGATGTTATTGTACAGTACACGCAAGGAGTTGTAAGCCCGCTGCGTAAAGTTGGTCCACAGTGCACCTGTATAAAAATTCTGACAGAATGCTCTAAAAAGCGTAATAGATTAACTGTCAAAATAAGAATAAAAAATGCGGTAACGCAATTAGTAATCATTAGAATTCACAATTCAGACATTTTTGGCAAAATTTTCCTACTTTCACAATCTATCGATAATATTATCGACAACAAATACGTGACTATTTACAATTTGTTGAAAACTGGCAACCCTACAAATGTCATTTTACTCCGTCTTCAAAAAAGAAGACTATAGATTATTATACACTGCAACGGAAATACGATTTCTCGCGCGATGGCTATTATCAATCGCGGGATTATGCGATATGTACGATTTGAGATTTAAAGAAAGACTGATTCATTTGATTCTTCTTCCGTTAATATATTTGATAATAGTCATTTACGGGACATGTTACTTCTGCCGCGTAATTATTGCTAGATTAACTGAACAGCTCTAAATCTTCACTATCCACAATCACAGCACGAGTTCGCAATGGCTAGCGCATATGTAATTGTTATTTGTATTTAACAAGAAATAATTTGTTACAGGTAAAGCTTTTGTAGAAAGTTCTAAACTGAAAAGGCATCAACTTGTTCACACTGGAGAGAAACCATTTCAGTGCACCTTCGAAGGCTGTGGCAAACGGTTCTCGCTAGATTTTAACCTCAGGTAATTAACAAAGTGTGTATTTTATAGCACCACTAGGCTTAGCATGAGGAGAAATAGATAAAACTTAAGCGCGAAGAATAATCTCTCTTTTCTACCGATTATGTCTTTTCTCCGAGCACGACGTAACAGGAAGAGAAACTCTCTATCGTAGACAAAGTCTTCTCTACGTAGTGATAAATAAATGTCTTCTGCTTGGGGCAGTAGAGATATTTCGCTACGGCGATCTGTTAAAAGTATACAAAATTTGTATGCGCGGCATCTTAAACCTCATAGCGCTTATGCTCGCGCCTATAGAGATGGTTAGAGATAATTAACAATTCGAAATAAAGATAACTTTTGTCTTCGGGCTCATGCTAAGCGTGCAGGTTTTACTGCCACCTTACCTATTTCTGCCGCCAAGCAGTAAGGTCAGCATTACTGTTCCGGTTTTAAAGGGTAAAGGTGCTTGTGAAGTTACAAGCACGTGGGACTTCTTAACCTATGTCTATGTCAGATCTTTGCAAGTGGCACTGCAACTGTTATGGACAGGCGTGTTGTATAACATCAGGCGCACGACTTGTTCGTCCCGTCACTTGATGTTATAAAAAAAAACATGTAAGACCATTCAGATCTGAAATTGTTTCATTACTGTACAGTCTGTCATTACAAATGTAGTCAATAGGAATTGTCTGCTCGCGTCAGAGATTCAGTCATAACTACACTCGTCGTCCTTTGTTTGGATAAAAGAAAATCGGTCCAGTTTTGAATTCCTATGCCTCTAGTGAGTCGTGTCTTTGTTGCCAATCAGTCCGCAAAATGTTCACATCACCGCGTTTTGGTTTTGAAGGGTAAGCCCGGTTGCACACTACATCCAATTCGTATTCTTTCCGAGTCCGAGACTATACAAATCTAGAAAACTCGGACCCACTTAGGATGTCTCTCGTGCACTAAATCCGATTCGAATACGATAAAATACGAATATCGCTTGTGCACCTAGAGATAAAATGATCCCTGTGACATTTCGGACCGCCATTTCTCTGAGAATGATGAGATGAGAATTCGGAACTGGTACGAATCGGACGTTGTACGCAAACGCTCTGCTAGTAAAATTACAGGCACATGGAAAAATTGTCAACTTATATCTCAGGGTGTCAGTCGGTGTTTGCGTAGCCCCTCAGATTTTTGCAATTTGAAGCCCTGAGTGGCACAGCAACTGTTATGGACTGGCGTGTCGCTTACCATCAGGCGCACGAGTTGCTCGTGCCGTCACTTGGTTTTATAAAAAAGAAAGCATTAAAAAGTTGCTTAAAACTTCATTCAGTAATGATGCAATTAGGAAGTCATTTAAAATTGATTTTATGACTCACAGTTTAATATTTTTCTTCGCACTTACTCAGAACCACGGCCGGTTAGGGGGCCAGGTATCCTTAGGGCATGGATTGTACACAGAACTCCCTAACTTACTTACAGATACTTGATATGATTGTCTGCCACATTAGTTACAGTCATTTATTGATAACAAATAAGTTACAAGTCACAAAATTAAAAAAGAAATACGATAAGGAATAATTAATTGATTCACGAAAAATAACTCCCTAAATAATAATACTAGAATATAAATATTGTCAATTAAATTACAATTATTAACAATAAGTTAATAAAACGTGTAGAGTGATTGTTGTGTGTGTGTAGGACACATGTGCGCATCCATACGGGCGACCGGCCGTACGTGTGCCCGTTCGACGGATGCAACAAGAAGTTCGCGCAAAGCACCAACCTTAAGTCACACATTCTCACACACGCCAAGGCTAAGTAAGTATTTTTTATAAATTTTCTCTTACAGCTGGGTTTTGACTATACGAGTGCGCTCTAGTCGGACGCTACTCGTTAGCGCGCATTCCCATTATCTCGTAATGAAGTTCTTCACATATAGTACAACATGATTAATTGTCCTTCACGACATTTTTGACGTTACATCGACAGGGAAGAGCTAGAACGATAAATAACACGTCACGATAAAAATGTGACAGCAGATATTCGCAGCTACAAAAGATTCTGTCGTGCAAACGACTAGGCGGCTGCCTAATAAACGTCCACGACACAGTCGTGGCAGATACTTGTGATATGGGAACAGGCTAGACGCGACAGTCGGTCAACGATAAATAAAACGTTACGACATAATGCGAAGGCGCCACTATACTATAGTCGGTAGATAGGCCCGGCCAGCGCAAAAGTGATGTAACCTACGTTTAATTTTTTTTCAACAATATTATTACAAATATTTGTACTTGTCTTCAAAATACACATATAAATTTTAAATTTAAAAGTTAATTACACATAAAATTATCGAACGGTTTGCTCCTTTCGGTCATACCGACGACGCTGTTGTACCTGTCGCGACTACATTACTCCACGAAGTCTGAGGAGATAGTGGAGTACATCAGGCTAAAAGCCAAATACACCCTGAGGGTCGAGCGGTTGGAGTCCCGCCACAACGTAAATTTTAATTCCTTTGTGGTGAGAGTGCCGACCGAACATCTATCGACCTTCATGAAGGAAGAGTTGGCCGAAGGGTGTCATATATCGGCGATTCCGCGGCCGGTTACCTGACACCAGACTGCGCCACACGTCCGACAAGTGGAATACGTGTAGATTAGTCGTTTTAGTTTATTTTATTGTCATATTATATTGTATTTATATTAGTCTTTAAGATATATATTATATGGTTCATGTAGCCTAGAATAAATGTCTAAATAAACAAATAAATCAAATGTCCACCCGTCTTATCTGCAGGTCAAGAAATTCCCTCTCCCGCAACGGTGGGGGCAACTACGAATCAGCACGGACCACACCACAGTTCGTTCAACTGGAGATGTCTCCAGACGATTCTAACCCCCAGTTGATTTTCTACACGCACGAGTGAAGGACACGTGAAATGTCAGGGATTACACATAAAATGTGATGGACAAGTTTTGAAATTTCGTGAAATGTGGAGGATATGTTTTGAAATGTGATGGACATGTTTTGAAATGTGATGGACATATTTTGAAATGTTATGGACATGTTTTGATATGTGTTGGACATGTTACGAAATATCGTGAAATGTGATGGACAACTTTTGAAAAGTTAATGAAGTGTTATGAAATGTCGTTTAGGACAGTGTAAAGGAATTAGAAAAGAATAGAGAAGAAAACGTCAAATGTGATTTAAAAAAAAAAACTGTATTTTATTTTTAAAGAATCAGCTAGTAAAGCTATAGACTTGGTATAATGTAAAAATAATGAATTTAATAATATAGTTTTGTTTTGATTAACTGGGCAAAACTTTGCCAGAGCTAGCGCTCTTAGGTCATTATGACTGAAGATGTTTACTAATATGATAAAAGAAATATGATGGCGTAATATTTTGTCATGTTCCTTAAAATATTTACATCTACAATGTAGATTCTTCGTAATTAACACTGTTGTTAGGAACATAGACTTAAAATATAAATAGCACAAGGCCCTTTACATGCTAACACGCAAGCAGAGAACTGTGTTCACTCATTCAATAGTATTTCACAATTTTGACATAAGGGCTGATAAAATTACAGGCACATGGGACTTTTCAACTTATGCCTTAGGGCATCGAGTATATAACCAGAAATAGAGACGAAATAAGGGTCATCCATCCCTGGCAATTCATCAGGTAAATAGGCCTTATATCACTTTTAAATATCAACTTGCGTTTGCGCTGAAATCACAAATTAGAAAGCTGAAATAGTACAGCGCCAGCAACTGACCTGTGAGTATGTCTCCGTATATTCTAAAAATAATTTGTATTTATTGTAATAAATATATCTAACAATGGGGGACTGTTCCATTCGGTGGTGTGGGAAAAGTAGCAAAACATCAAATTACAAAACAAACGGAATCACATTTTATCGGTGATGAAATATTAAATATGTAATTATTGAATTTTCGTCCATTATAGCAAAGCTCAAGCTAAACTGGTCGATTTGAAGTGAAACAATTGACGACACCCGTCAATTGTTTCGAATTCGGGCTGGCCAATCGGAGCGCAGTTGTCACCGTAATGATTTGGCAGATTAATTTTGAATCAAATTAAATGACATTTCGTCTCTATTTCCAATTTTCGATGTCTTAGGGTCGTATTCTAGAACTCTACTCAATGCTCAAGTCAGGATTTGAGTATGGCTTAAAGCACTCGAAATCATACTCAAGTCCCTGCCATTAGGGTCGTATTTCCAGTGCAATCCTGACTTGAGCATTGAGTAGAGTTCTGGAATATGACCCTTAGGGTGGCTGGTGCAGAAGCAGTCAGATATATCTGACAACAACTTAACACCTAAAGCGCCGTGTTCATCAAAATGTACTTGATATGTGTTTCAGATCCAGAAAATATTTCTATGATCACGTGAACGCCCAGTGTACATTATAGCGAAAATATTGCATTCAAATTAAAAAAAAATTAGGTGCACCCAAGTCCATTGTCAAGTTCGAATTTCAAAAACCTTTAGCGCGCAGATTTGTAATGAGAAGAAAGCCTTTCCGAGCTAGTGACGTGAAAATAACTATTTCCATACAAAATAGGGCATTCTCGGACCTGAATGATGTAGTCATATTTAGTACATTTGAATGTACATTGAGCATTTAGCGTTCTAAAAAAGTTCTATGTAGTTTGCTGGGTGTTTTAAGATTGTAGCTTTTAATGGCACCACTGTTTTGGATAGGCGTAATGCTTGATTTCATTAAAAAATCTATGCCAAAATAACCGAATACTATTGGCTGATGTAAAGTAGATCTCTGCTTGGCTGTGGTAAACAATGGGTCAGATAGACAAACTGATAGCTGGTAAAAATGTAACAATTTTCAACTTGTCCACAATATGGCTTTTTTTATGGGAAATTTATTGTTTTGAGGTTAACAAGGCAACGTGAAGCATCTCATTTCAAAGTTCATTGTCTCCAAAGTAAGCAAATACATAGGAAATTACATCAACGTTTCGGGCCCTTTACAGGTCCCTTGGTCACAGCTGACATCACGGCACACAGAATAAGACAGTCAGTCAGTTCTTTGCCCTGGGGCTTTGTTGTTGTTGAATCCGGTTAAAACCCGTTACGCGCAATATCGACAACATAAACTATTTACAACTAAGTATGTGTTGTAAATCGAGTTTTATTCAAATTAAATGATATTATTACAAACGTTTATTGATTTCTGATTTATACGATTCTATTTGCTTTTTTCTATTGAATAGATTCGCTTGAAAATGGTATTAAAATAAGTCGATACAAAAAAATCGTTAAGAGTTTTCATAAAAAACGAATCGTAATATGCATCCTCAATAGTGAGAATCCACAAGATTGCAAGGTGGGTGGGGAGTTATGTGCAGTTGCCTCAGTTTTGTCGAAAAAAGATTTTTATATCGAAATTTCTAATAAGTATGGAATTATACCAAATTTCGCATTGGCCGTTTCTGTTCACGATTTTAGTAAATTCGGTTAATACCCGGGCGGGTTAATTGGGTTTCAACCCACTGCCGATCTCTGGCCGTGACCGGATCTGTAAAGGGTCCGAAACTTGGTTTGTTAAGCAAATCAAATAAACGCGATTAAAAAAAAATTGCTTCAGTTCTATATGTAACAATTGTAAAAGTCCAGGAGTTCTATAAGCCAATTACAGTTTAATTTGTCATAATAATTAAATACATTTCTAAGGCATATTGCCCGGAGAAGAACGAGTAAAAACTACAGATTTCTCTTTTGAAACTTGCACCCGAAATGTATTGTCCTTCTGGACCAGTCAGGGTACAAAAGCTATGAAAGTCCAAACGGTGCTTTCTCATACATTAAAAAGTTACCTGTTCTTTTAAGCACATTAATCGTTGTGATCTCCACTGCTCTGTTTTTAACATTAAATTTAGTTGCCTTTATTCTTAAGCGCGCGCTTTTAAAAATTCAAAATTGGTTCAATTGGGTAACCGACGAGAATGAATTATCTTTTCTGTGAAATTGAACTAAATTTAGTTTTTAGATTACTTATTATAAATTAAAACGAGTTCTTGTACAAGCTGGACTGGAACAAGAAAGGTAATAGCAATTATGATGTTTCTTTTATCTTAAAATAATTCTGACGTGGCAAATATAATTTACGAAAGATAAAACTAACGCATCATGTGCGTCAATCATGTCAATGCCATTTACGTGAGGTTTCCTGTTTGATTCTTGATAGGATCAATTTTGGAAATATAACTTTTTCGGCCCCCTATTAACCTAATTTGAAACCACCAAGTCTGCAAATTTTCTTGAAATACGTTTATTTATTTAAAGAAAGATTAACAGCTTAAAATTAAATAAAATAATAATAATAATAATTGAGAGCTAATTAAAGAGATCCTCACAAATAAAAACATAATACGGAATTTATTTGCACAATTCACCTAACTTATTATATAAACATAAAAAAAAGAAAAACCATAGAATTTGAAAGCCTCACTAAAGAGTCAAGGAAGTGCTCACTCACTACTCATATTAAAATTATTGTTTCACGCCACATAAACTCATTTTGCCTGTAGTTAGTTCTGGCCGGAGGTAGAACCAAAAGTGAATTGTTTCTAAGATACTTAGAGGGAACTGTATTTGATCATTGTGATAGCAATTCCGGAATTGAACATGTAATTCCATTAAGGCTCAATTTACATTGCGGCGGAATGGAATGGAAGCGTCAATTTCGCCTCGCTCCGCGAGAAAGCGCGCGCGGTCGCTGGAATGCTGCAGAATTCGCGAGCTTTCACGCAACTGCGCCTTGAGGTTTGCAGTGTTCCATCGTCGTTTGACGTCACCCTGCGTCTGCGCCTGCCTTCGCGCCACTTCTCACGGATTCGCCAAGCGTCACTGACGGCAGCTACGGAATTCTCGTGAATGCGCAAGAACTCCGCGGAAGACGCGCGACGTGATTTTTGACTCGTATGTAGTTTGTACGTTACATAGTAGATCATAAAGTTCATTACGCTATGCACAATGTCGTTACAAAAATTCACTTCCATTCCGTCGCAATCTCACCCCAGTTAGCAGCACGCATTTCCGCCGCAATATAAATTGAGCCCAAGACTCTACTGAGATCATATTGATAACATTACGACTGTGATCTGGCAATCGGTACTATCTCAATTTTGACAACTTTACAGGGTGAAATAAAAATCATTTATGTAGCATCTGGTTTACTAAATAAAAATACGTGGTGTACATACATACATGTGTTATAAAAATATTTAAAAGCTGCGTATTTTTATTTAATAAACCAGCTCCCGTAGCATGGTTACGCATGGTAGTCGCGCCGCGCGCGATAAAATTGGAATAAGCGCGCGCTATTGGCTGTCTCAATCAGATCTAATTTAGATATCCAATTTAATACGGGGCAGATACTATATAAATGACGCAAACAATTTTTTTCTTCACCTGTAAAGTTGTCAAAATTGCGATAGTACCGATTGCCAGTTCACAGTCGATTTGTTTTACTAAAATGTAGTTGCAATGGTTGACTCTCAATTTCCTGACTATTACTGCTGCCCTAATAAAACTATCACGGAAATTACGATGTATATCTTAAATTTTATCTTGTTTAATCAACAATTTCGTCTTTAAATTAAATGTTTTTTAAATATCACATAATTAGTAGACTACGCCATGACGTGCCATCAACTCGCCATTAAAAAGCAGAATATTAAAAACTGCAATGGCAGTTGAATAGTAGCTCGATGTCTAGCCAGTATTCTTAACTTTAAGCAGAATACCAAATGTACATGGGGCCCAGATTGTTGGAATTGTCTTGCACTTTATTTAACAAGCTTGAGGTTAAAGAGTTAAACGCAGGCTACATCGCGAACGAAGCTAAGGTAACTTAGCTCACGTAGTTGCATGCAAAGGTAGGCTAAGAAAATACGTAGTAAGTAGTGACTGTGGACACGTGCGGGGGTGAAGGGCGGTAGAATGGCGAATAGCTGAGTTTAGTTAGCTCGATTAGCTTAGTTCGCGGTGTGAACCGAAGTATGAAAAGATGCCCCGGCTACGTGAGCTAAGTTAGTTTGGCTTCGTTCATGTGGGCTGCGCTTTAGCTAGATGTTGTACATTTAAAAAAAATCCATTCGAATTGTGCTCGGTTGTGAGGTATGCAACCGGCTATAGCAAGGTATATATAGAACATTTATGGCTATGCCC